ATTTGGTTCTAAGCCTACTCTCGACAAGGTCGATCGAGTGGCCACCTACCGGACCACCGAGTGAAGCATATCCACTCGAGGCCCCCCAGGTCTACCTTCCTCAAGGCAGACGTCTACATCTTCACCAAGTCCTCCGAAGAGTGCAACCCGCCAGCCGACGGGTACACAAGGTGAGAGAAGGTCCATACGCGGCATCGGGGTACCCCCTCCGACAGTCGGCAGTCCGGCACAGTAAGTGGTTTGGGGTCTCATCATACAATTTTGAGAGTCCACTCCATCACATGTCCATGAGGTGCGTGATAATACACGACGCCGATGCCTAGCCATCTGCACGTAGTCGCGCATCACTATTTACCCTTTCGCATAGGCAGAAATTTTAAACGCACCACTTTTTTCCTCTTGCGGTGGCTCGAAGGTACGACGAAGGTCGTCCTGGATGGTATTCATGGAAAGGAACGTGCGGCTTCTTCACAACGAGCTTACCAAAAACCCACTTTTTGGCTTTATCAGTGAGGCGGGATAGAAGGAAGTTGACCTTTGCCTGGGGTGCCTCAAGAAGTCAAGAGGCGATGCCAATGAAACCTTCTCGGAACCATCGATTCAGCAACAACCGGTCTTTACATTTTTCTGAGTAGGAGGAGGATTCCATCTTCACGGCCTCATTACGTGAAGGCCGCGAAGGAGTTAAGCCTCGCCGGTTGCATTCGGCGAGCTCACGTGCCATAAACTCATGTATGTCGAGATGTTGCGCATCAGGGGTCGCTGATCTCATCAACGACGCGACGAATGCCTCTCCCGATATCGCCGCGAGGCGATTAAGGGCGTCTTACTCAACACCAGTAAGATGGGGGAAGGTCGCGTGCTCCAGAAATAAATTTGGAGCGCCAACGTACGACGATTCACTCATCCCAAACTCGGGCATAGAAAAGACTACGAAGTGCTACCAGATGTAACGGGGCTAGAACGTACCGTTACTATCTTACACGCGCGCTCGAGGAAGACTCAAGCCCAAGCATTAGGTATTAAGTAATACTAACTCTGATTTTTATTTTGGTTTTAATTCGTACTAATTACGAAGATTTGAGTCGTAATAAATACGACAGTGTTTCCGCCTTTCGGGAACCACAAAATTTCAGGTTGATTTATCTTGGTCCATATTGGGACTTTAGGCCCAATAATAAACTAATAATAAATTACCACGCTGTGCCCGCTATTCGGGCCCAGCACCTGCCTACATATGTAATTGCTTATTAATGTTAATACTATGTGTGTAATGTAGTCCATTACACTTATTTCCTCAGGCTCGATGAAACCCATTTTATAGACTTCTTCTAGCTGTGGTAGGGCAACCACAGCGATATCCTCTATGATTAACTCTCCAGTTGATCTAGGATTACCGTGTTGCCTCTTCTGGGCAACCGGTTTACTCTTCGGTGAATGCTGCCCTCTAGGCAAGCATTTATGTCTCGATACGCTCAACTTATTCTAGTGTAGAACTTTTGGCGCTGCCTGGGCTCGTGCACAGCCGCCGGCCGCTTGCTCCACAGCGTGACTGTCTGTCACGCTGAGTTCTTATGCAGTCGTACTAACGACCAAGCCACAAGTGAGGCCATCCCACTCACTCGTAGTACATTCACACGCTTGTGAACGCTCCAAGACGTTCATCGGATGTCCATCGGATGAACAAGCGGCAGCCAACTTTACGGTTCGATGCTTCCAGCTGACCCATGGCTCGTACCTTCTGATTCATGGTAATCCTAGAATGACATCAAATTTGTCATCCAGGTCAAGTACGATGAAATCATCATCGTACTTTTTGCCATCAAGCGTGTAGTGAATTCCCACTACACGTTTCTTTACTGTTACGGATGCGCCAGTTGCAAGGCGCACCGTCATCCTCGTTGAAGTGGTCTCGCGCTCAACATATATGAGCCTACGATCATCTAGCGATTGGCGTCGAAAAAAGTTGTTTGACGCCTCCTAATCAACTAGGGCGCGAAGTGACATGTTCTTTGTCACTTCGATCTTCAATGTGATGAAGGATACCTCATCACTGGGAGCGGCAACACACAGTGATTGTGTGTTGAGAGCAGCCCTCGTCAAGAGTCCCGCAAACCCTCTTGACGTTGCTAGATCAGTAGGGCGCTCCGCCCCTACTGACCCCGACCGTTTTTGATGGTCCACCACGTTGTTGTGATTTTGAAGCAGCGTGGGTCCCACGTCTCTAGCCCTTCTTGGAAGACGATCGATCGTCACTCCCAGTGTTACGAGACACTGGGCGTGGGGCACTACACTCATAAACGTAGTTACCCATCTTTTGACAGCAATTGCACTTTTGCAGTCTCTTGTATCCTGGAGGGCGAGGTCGCTCGCTCTCTACTTTGGAGAGGTACATTGGTTCTGGACCTCCGCCCTCCTGTCGTCTCGGTGGAAGATAGGATCCCGAGTGGACGTGAGCCTGTTGTAGGCTAAAGTCCTCCTGTTCCGCTGCATAGATCTCTTGATCCAGCGATTCTAATTCCAAGCGAAAGACGTGGGTCTTGACGGGACCGTCCGTCAGACCCTTGATAAACACAGTAACCTGCAAGTGTTCATCGATTAAGTTCAGTACGATACAGCTAACGAGGTATCGTACGTGTTGGGGGTAAACGTGTATATCACGCTTACCCTGTTTCAAATCCAGGAGCTCAGCCCGAGCCCTACATTTGGCGCGAGGCGGTTCAAACGTGTGTTTGAGCCGCGCCTTGAAGACGTCATACGTTGGGAAAACGTATGGGTCGTGCAGTTTGAGCCCTAAGGCCCAAGCTTTGGCACGTCCTGCCAAGTTCGACATGGCGAACTTGACCTTCATCGCATCGTCATCGATGCGACGAGCCTCAATGGCATCGTCGAGCTCGACGAACCATCTTAACAAGGAGTCGCTTTCGACTGCCTTGTACTTGAAGACATCAATCTTCAAGGACTCGGGTCGACGTGTATACGCCGACCCGGCGGCAACAGCACTAGCCTGCTGTTGTCTCAACAGTTTAGACTGTTGATCACCCTGCTGCTTCAACAAGTCAGCTTGTTGAGCGCCTTGTTCTCTCAACAGTTCAACCTGTTGAGAACCTTGCTTATGTAGCAAGGTGAGTTTCTTTACAACTTCGTCAAGTTCATGTTGTATAAACTTGGCGATGGTTGCATGTTGGTCGTCTCCGCTAAGAGAGAGCAACATGGCACCAACGGCAGGGTTGCCGATGGTTTCAGCCATACGTTGAACCGCATTCCATTCGAGATCACTCATATGGCGAATTTATCACGCGTTGCGGGATGACGTTCATCATCCGCTGATTCCATAGCGGATGGTGCGGTGGTCGCTAAACGGACCACGAAGTGCTACCAGATGTTATGGGGCATCCTCTGACTATACTGATAACAATATCGTCTACCTCCACTGATAAAAGCGAAAGCAGGTGCCTCGAAACCTCACGTACAAGGACGGAAGCGGAGAATGCTATATGACTAAATGACGCACTTAGTTGTCAGGAAAATTGTAAATGTATTAAATATAGTTAAGTAATCTTTTCCTGGTCGGGTTGGGGCAACGCCCTCCCGGAAGGCTTGAGCTAGCTCGATGCTAGCTTAGACCTTAGACGGATACTTCCACGATATAGGTCAATTTTGATGGGCATCTTCCTCTGCACACCTCTTTTTTGCTGCTTTTACCCTCTGCCGCTAGCCAAGCCGCCATGCCAGAAACCCGGAGTCCCGGCATCTCCGCTTAGGTACGCTGGCGTAATCCTTTATTACCGGTTCAAGAAACAAGAGACCAGAGAGTGAGTGATAATTCGACGCATGCGAAAGTAAAACCACTTTGGTGGCAAGACGGCTCGCGTAACGCGTTTACATACACATCTGATCGTTTAGTTCTATTAGATTATAATGTTAATTGGAACAAATAAGTACTTTGGCCAAAATTATAAAGAACGAATTGATTCCTTCACCATCAAATGGCGAAGTATATAAGCAGCCGCATACATTATCTCTCGTCGTACGTCTGCATTCGGTAAACACAGTATCTACCGGTTTGGCATAAAACCTTGCATTTTACCCGATGTTGTCCCTTTAAAATTCGGTTGCAGACTATATGATCAGAGACATCTGCGGAAATCCCTAGCATATCGTTGTCTCCAGCACTGTGTCCAAATTCGCTAAGACGTAGTAAGCAAAGATTTTCAGCAGCGACGGCGGTGTAAGAGCTTCAATAGCAGATCACCATGTAGAGTCTATCGATTGTCGGGCGTACTGCTCGTTATCTGCACGAATCGCGTTTTGTCTCGGTGTAAGGCTTGCTGTAAAACACCTCGCGGTGGCTTATTTGGTTCTCAGTGGTAATGCACCTTTCTCTACACCGAGGGAAACACAAAATTGCGAGGTCTGTGTGCGCATCTCACGTGTCATCGAATTCAACTGCCCACTTACGCACTGATGACAATGGTTGTATTGATGTTAAGACACTAAAGACAATCATCACAGTGGTGTACCATGTCGGACTGCAGGTGCACCTACTGTTGAATTAAAAGAAGACAAACTGTAAAGTAAATATATATGATACTTAGCTTACTACCTTAAGCTACATCTAAGCCTGTCCTCATTAGATCTTCGTTACTGACGTCATCTAATAATATGTCCGTTTATAACGTCATATTCTTTCAGGTATTGGCCTTTATCATATCTGTATTCTGTAACGTCAGGATACGAATATGATCTCATATAACGCCATTCACCTGTCCAACATGCATTCGGCGGTGTGTTAGTAACACTCCCACTCACCGCTTATGCTGACTGCGCCTTGGTCCAATACCAATTGCTTTGAGCAAGTACTTAAGTCGCTAAGTCCCTAGTGCCTTGGTCAACATGTCTGCCAACTGGTTTACCATTGACTTGTACTTGACCACAATAATGTCTTGAGCCAATGAAGTGATGACGAATTTCAACGTGTTTGGTTCTGGTATTGTATCCTAAGTTGATTGCAAGTCCAATCGCATTTTAATTATCTTCATAGACCAAAGTCGCTCATACTTGCTCATGACCGAGATCCTTGAGCATCGCGCGGACCCATAGTACTTCCTGGGTACAAAGCACAAAGCCCTGTGCTCCACCTCTGCCGAGCTCAATGCCACCGTGAGCTGGTACTTGGACTTGAACACGACTGGTGCACCACCAATCATCACCATTATACCTGACACCGAGCGTCGATCGTCGATGTTGCTTCCCCAGTCCTCGACCGTGTATGCTGTTGCTTGAACCTCTTTTGCGCTGCCATCGTAGATAATGCCATAGTCTCTTGTTGTTTTGAGATATCGAAGAACACGAATGGCAGCCTTCCAATGTTGCTGACTGAATTTTCCAAAAAAATTGAGAACTGTGTGATTATATACGCCACATCAGGTCGCGTACATGTTGTGATGTATAGCAGACATCCAATTAACGACCTGTACGGTTTTTGACTGCGTTTCTTTTCTTTAATCGTTCGTCGCTGGTAATTGCATCTTTGACAGCTTCAATCCAGACTCGCATGGGGTAACCACTGCCATGGCTTCATCTTGGTCAAACCGGCATACCACGTCATCGTAGAGCGAGTCTGACGAATCATTAGCGTAATGCCGTTGCGATCATGTTCGAACTCCATACCGATAATAAACTTGACCTCGCCCAGATTCTCCATCTTGAACGAATGTTTCAGTGATGTCTTGACTTCCTGGATCTTCTTACTGATCTTGGCGGTGATGATCATGTCGTCGACGTAAAGACACACATAGACGAAGTTGCCATTGTTGACCTTAAAATAGGCAAACTGTCTGCTTCACTGCTCTGAAAACCAATTTGCAGGAACACAGCGTGGGTTGTCTTGTTCCATGTACTCGCAGCTTGTTTGATTCCGTAAATTGCCTTGTCCGATCTGCACATCATCTTTTCAGCAATTGTTATGCCATTAGGTACTTCCATCTACACCTCTTCTTTGAGGTTACTGTTCAGAAACGCCGTGTCTGCATCCATCTGTTCGGTCACGTATCCCTTCGCCACCACCACATCCAGCACGACCCTGATCAAGTTCATCTTTTCTACGGGTGAGTACGTCTCAAAGAAGTCGACACTGAACTTTTGCTTAAGCCTTTTGCGACAAGTCGGTCCTTGTACCGCACCACCTGTCCGTGCTCGGTACGCTTATTAGTGAATACCCACCTGCATCCGTTTGTTCGGACGTTCTTCATCTTCGAGATGATCCTCCATGAATCGTTCTCCAAATGAGCTTAAAGCTCAGCGCTCATAGCCTTCATTCATTCCTTGGCTTCGTCGCTTACCATGGCTTGTTGTTATGTCGTCGGTGCATCATCTTCATCACCAATACTTGCCGCATATATTATTACAGCTTCTGTAAGCAGGTTATCTTTATCAATACGAGGTCGTTTGGGTGACGGCGGATTGAAATGATCGTCATTGTCAGGATCATCGTCGCTATCCATCGTGTTCTCGTCAGCCATGATCAATCCATTCCCAAGAAGAAGAATTGGTTCTCTTGGACGTCGAGATCGTTCTGTGGTGAAATGCCAGGAGAATCGGGGCCCAGGGTATCAAGGCCCCAAGGTACCAGGGTACAGGGTCCCCAGGGTACAAGGGCCCAGGCCTCGCAAGGTCCCAAGGTTCAATCGAGGGTCACCAGGGACAGGGTTTTCTGTCACCAGGGACCGGGGTACTGGTCACCAGGGACAGGGTTTCTAGTAACCGGGGACAGGGTTTCTAGTAACCGGGGAAAGGGGTACTGTTTACCGGGGACAGGGGACAGGGGTATCGAACGTCCAGGGTCAAAGGTACAAGGTTACCCTACCGTGCGCACACCAGGACCAGTGCCCCGAGGTGGTCCAGGGTCCTAAGGTCAAAGAAGGTACAAGGTATTTCAACGTGCAGAGTCGGTACAGGCCCCAAGGTCCAAGAGCACAGGGTACAAGAGCCCAGGGTATCAGGGACCAGGGTATAGGGTACAGGGTGCAGGGTACCGGGATACCAGGGTATCAGGGCCCAATGCCCGAGGGTGCAGAAACGATACACGGAATATCAAAGATTACAGAAAGTACAGGGACCAAGGAGCCAGTTCTTCCTCCAAGATTCGACTCGTGGCACTATCCAGATCAAAGGGTTAGGGTTAGGCAAGAAAAAGCATACAAAGTATAAGATAAATAAACACACTCGAATGTGCATTACACGTGGCAGCCCCAAGCGCTTCCTTTAAGCTTCTCCGTCACCTCACCTATTCCAGGCGGGATACCTTTTGGCCCACCGACGTCAGGTGAGGTGACGGCTCAAGCAACGCAAGTTTATCCTCAGGATAGTTGGCCTGAGGTATTAAGTTAGTGTCAAGACTTAAGTGCGAGCTTGTTTCGATCTACCCACCTGTTCTGGGGAAGTCATTTATTTTGGCCCCCCCCCCCCCCGTTGAAGACAGACGTGTGGTAAGATTCAAGCTCGAGCGAACCCCAGGAAGTATTTTGGCCTGTGGGTTCGTACCCATTCTACGACCCGCTACTGAAAGCGATTTCCCTACGGGGAAGAACACAAAGGGGTCCAAGGACCAAGAACAGTCAGCCACCAAAGGGGTACGCAGTACCAGGTGCATCGCTCTCGACTAAGTCGATGGAGCCCAAGAAACCCGGTCCTAAGTAAATTATATCCACTCGGGGACCGCCAAGTCCAAGTCTTATACAAAGACCAAGTCTTTAAGTATTCTGCGTCAACCGAGGAGCAAGACCAGCCAAGCCGACGGGTACACAAGGTGAGACCCAAGGCTAACACGACACGGTATCGTGGTACCCCCTCCGTAAGTCGGCAGTCCGGCGCTGTGTGTGTTTGTGGATCTCCTACGTTGTTTGAGAATCCACTCCACAACAGTTTCTTATACTTCGCGCCACCTTTTGATCTCGTCTTCATCGGTCCCATTACGTCTGTGTGCACAAGTTCCAGAAGACGGGACGTCTTCATCTGTGAATTAGATGGAAATTGCGTCACCGTTTGCTTTCCTTTCAAGCATCCACTGCATAGCGCTTTCGTCTTAGAACTGGTAATTGGAATACCAGTCGTCACACGCTGCGTCTTTGCCAGCGTGTCCTTGTTCAAGTGACCCATACGAGCGTGCCAAAGATCATACTTACTATCTAGTCCGAATATGCCACGTATTGCGCCGTTTCCTGCTGACATTCTAGCATGTAGGTCTTGCCGACCTTTTTCCCCGAGGCGGTAGCTTGGTTCTTGTTCCAAATGATACATGATGTGCGCTCGAACTCAACATTGAGTACGCGTTCTGCAAGCTTGCCGACCGATAGTAGTCGTCGAACAAGACCAGGGATGTGGAGGACGTACATAACATCCGAATGCGCTTGCCATTCAGTACACCGACCCGGTTCCTACCACATGGATCTTCTTTTCATCCGCAATGGTCACCTCAGTACTTGTCGCCAGTTTCTAATATCCGATTAAGTCTTCTCGGCGTCATGTGTGCCGTCGCACCACTGTCGATCATCCACCCTGATGATCGACTCTCCCCGGCAACGAAGACAGCGTCCTCGTCATTTTCGCCAGGCCATTTCATGCCTGAGCAGTCCCGCTTTATGTGACCAAACTTGGCACAGTTGAAGCATTTGCCTTTGAGCCCACTTCGCTTTCTCGAAACGTTATCCTTGCGTCCGTTGCTCCATCATTTTCTAACAAACCTTTCGTTCTTCGGCTTGACCCCATGCGTTATAGCCTTTAGCGCGCGTTCCGTGGCTTCCTTCTTGTTCTGTCGCTCATACTCCTTGATCAGCTTCTGCTTCACCTCCATGAGAGTGACATTCTTGGCGTTCTCTACGGTCGACGCAATGATCTCGTACGCTGCAGGCAGACTGCTGATAAAGACCACAAGGTGTCGCGCTTCGTCCATCGGCTCATCCAGAGACTGGAGACCGACAATGAGTTCATCGAGCTTGTACAGATGCTGGGCTATCGTCACGCTTTTTTCCATCTTAATTTTATGAAAGCGGCGGGTCATCGTCACCAGATTGTGCATGATCGTGTGATTGTAGAACTCACGCAACGTGATCCATGCCTGGAGAGCCGTCTTTGCCGACCAAATCTTGGTATGATGCTCCACCGTAATGCCTTGAGAAATCAATCCAAGTGTTTGAATGTCGTTTATCACCCATTCCTCAGTCATCTCGGCTTCGATCTTGACCATCTGGATGTGCGCTTGCAGCCCCTTTCTCGCCAGTGTCATTCGCATGACGAACTACCAGTGGAAGCAATTATCGCTCCCAAGGATGACTTCAGCCCTTTTCGCAGACATGGGAACAGCGGGAATTGTGCTTGAGCGTCTTGCGGCTGTTTACCTGTTAACCTGTTGAGCTGATTAAGGTAGAAGAAGGCAAATTGTGAAGATAATATATATGATACTTAGTTCACTGCCTTAAGCTACATCTAAGCCTGTCCTCATCAGATCTTCGTTACTGACGTCATCTAATAATATGTCCGTTTATAACGTCATATACTTTCAGGTATTGGCCTTTATCATATCTGTATTCTGTAACGTCAGGATACGAATATGATCTCATATAACGCCATTCACCTGTCCAACATGCATTCAGCGGTGTATTAGTAACACCCACAGTGTAATCGGTACATTGCTAATACAATAGCAAACAACTGCGATAAAAATTTGCTAGCACGTGACGCCCAGCAAAACTGGGATTGCCATCGCCCAGTCCTAACATCAATGTTGAGCTTACTGCGTCGCAAACGATTCTGTACCCAGTCATATAGCAAGCAAGCGGTGCGACTTATTAAACGTGCATCCTCGTTGTAGATGGGCACTTCTACGAAGTTGCCCTGTGCTACTTATCACACACCTTCATCAAGAGCGAGGAAGCGGTTAGACCGTCTCACCTTCGCGTGCGAGGGTGGTTATGTGGTTGGTTGACTGCTAAAGCAGTCGTACCACCAGTTGCCTCTTGCTTGAGAGAGAGTGCAACGAACTTCTAAAACAAGAAGCCACCGACGTTACGCAGAAGCTTTTTCAGCTTCTCGTGCGTGGTGCGTTTGATTTAGCAAATTCAATACTGAGCTATATTTAATGAATTATAATTAAATATAAACTTAACTACTGATTGGCTATATATATATATATATATATATATATATATATATAAAATAGATAGATAGATCGGATACGCGACTCTTTAGCTGTCGCATGAACTTAAATCTAGATTTAAGCTTGCAACTGACGTCGTCGCGATGCCTAGCTTCAACTAGTGTCATCCCTTCCCAGGCGAATCCATACATGGATATCACATTCACGAGGGTGGATCACATTTGTGTATCGCACCCAAGTGACAGGTCAAAAGTAATCATGGATATTTGTAGACCTTACATTAAGTATAGTGCTAAATGTTTACGTGTAATTAGATGCTCTTCAACACTCGTCCTCATTATCTTAGCACTTTAAGGCACAAACGAGCGTTCTTCCCTAATCTCCAAGGTCATTGAGAAACTAAGCAACCTTTCAAGTTGTTTGTTAAGCTGGCATTCTTGAACTCTTTTGCGTCTACAATAGAAGTCATTCCTGCGAGATGGCTTTCATCTTAGCGTGTAATGTATCACGTGAAAGTCTTAAACGCTATTTCTACGCAATCAAATCTGACTGCATCATCTCTAGTCTTGCAAAAGTTTCTCGCAACGTGGCGCGTAAAGCTTCCAGTCGACGCTTGTTGTCGCTGCTGCGGTCATTGCCGTCGCGGCATTCTCCACTAAATGTCCCAATCACTCGTGTATGTCTTTACACTTGTCGGTGTAGAACCTCTGTCTTTCCACTTGTCGATGTATAACCTCTTCCGTTCTCTAGCAGTCGCAGCAACTTGCTCTTCAGGCTCTGAATATTTCTATCCTGGTTCTTCATTGTCACAAAATCGACTTCGTTATCCTTCAGCTCTTCTGCAACTGCCAGTTTTCCTTCATTCCATCATCAGCTTCCAAGGGCGATGCCGCAAGTGCTATAGCTGACGCCACAATATATACTGCTTTATCAGCATCAGAAATAAGTCATTGAAATTGCTCACACTTCTCCCGGAGCGTACACTATTCTTCGTGGTACTTCCTTAACACAGCATGCTATCCAGATCAAAACTTTTCGAAGTCAAGACGTTACAGGTCGTTACAACTGCGTGTAAAGACACTTTGTCTCCAAAAATCACTACCGCGTGGCAAAATCGCTGTGGCGGTTGATATCCGTCAACTCCACTTTTTCTTTACTTGTTCACAATGGCTGTACTCATACTAGTGTTTGAGCGTGTTTTACGTCCAGCTTTCATCCTCCAACAACACTCAGTCGTTGCTCTCAGCGTTCACGACATAGCTGTGTCCGAAACGCGTGGAAATGACAGCACTTGAAGCCTCTAATTGTGACAGAGGATCCAGGCAGCAACGGATGACCCATATCATCACTCGTTCATGAGTCGTCGAAGTGTCTTGTTCACAACCAAACGTTTCGTTGAGCAATATTCCTGTTCAGGATAATGTACTTGCTGGAAAGATACGATGACAGACTGCAGGATTTATACTCGATCGATAAACTGCATGTCTTGCAACAGCTCAAGTGCAATTTTGTCGATAACGATGACAAAAGAAGCCCCAGACGTTTTATAAAGACGAAGTTGAGTGAGGAAAATCAAGCTGCAGGCAAACTGGAGGCGACTACCTTTAAAGTAGAAAAGATCCTAGTGTTTCGTATACGCCGCTAGAGCACACAGGACAAGGATGCGAGCGTCCGTTACTAGCTCAGACGCCACAGGCAATCTTTACGACTGTGATGGTACATCTGAGAGCACGGACGCTCATTCGCAACGTCAAGGAGAATGTTGCTTTAATACGAAACCATCAAGAAGCACTCTATTAATACCATTGTGTATTATTCCGCTTAGCCTTACGCATAAAGGCTAACGACAAAAGAAATACCTAGCTAACGCAGCCACGTGAAACGTCATGCAGGCGCTGCTTAGCAGGAAGATTACGACTACGAACGCTTCTTGCTATTCCTCTAGGCGTTGTCGCTTTCGAAGATTGTGCGTATGGGGCAGTAACGATTTGACAATCGTATCGTTCGTCGGGCCATCGGCGGCAATACCATATTTATTCTCGGCGTAGTAACCCACAAATACTTGGCAAACTTGTTTCGCTGCGACAACTTGAGCGCTGGATCCAGGCGAAGCGCTTTGCATGATTCAAGATCTGGACAAACCGCAATGTAAATTGGTGACTCGGTATTACCAGCTTCCTTGACATCATCTGGGTAAAAAATCTTGTTCATTTCTTTCAACTGGTTGCTGTCAATGCCATGCTTTGCCGTGACAGTAAATTGAAGATACGCTACATTGCCCTTCTTGTCGGATGTAGACTTAAGCTTCACAATTCTGTCAATATTCCGAAAAACGCGACACCCAGGAAACCAGTACGAGTACTTTTTTTAATCTCTCCATTCGATCAGATGGGCCACATGATCTTTTGCCGTTCCGGAGCAGGTTGCACTATGATTTTCCAAGTGCACCTGCTTCACGTTGAAAAGACGCGGCGCGTTTGGTTGATAGTTTTCTGGCGGATCATATTCGGAAATATGGAGATCCAACTGGTTGTCGGCAGCCAGGCGATGTAGAAGAATCTCATAAATGGCTCCAGCGAGTGAATTGTTTCCAGTATTCTTCGCCCACGTATATATTCGAAACAGTTCTTCCGATCGAAGTCTCAATGAGAGACAACGCGCAGCATATTCCGAGTCGATAACTATCTTCCCAACACGAGATGTAGATGAACGGGTCCCAACACTCCGAGAAAAGCGGAGCTATTTCATCTGGGCTTTTTATAAAAGTATGGCGCAAACGATCGATTTGCGATTCCCCCGTCGCAATGCTGAGCTTGTTGTTTGGCAAGTTCGAGACATCGGTTACACATTCCGATCGCAATCATCAATTGCCTCGACTATTTTCAGTGCATGTAGCCAGTGTAAACTCGCGCACACTTCCGCCAGAGTAGTAAAAGCGCATCATCCATGTCATTACGGATGATACTTATGGATGAGTTCTCCCATCGAAAGGAGATCCGTTCGTGACCAACAAGGCAACAGACAGCAGTACGCATAAAGTTGGTCTTCAGACTTTAGGTCCACCTGCTGCTGATGTTGCCAACATCGTGAGCGTTGTCAAACTAACCGGAATATCTTGGTACCGAAATCCATCCAACAACAGCCATACGTTCGATATGCCCTGTTGGTGGACGAGCTCTTTATATATGTCTATCGCAGTCCGGTCTTCGCATCCCTTCACTGCAAACTGCACAACCTTGCCATCTTCGTAACCCAAATAAAAGAGACAATCCGCCTGATTTTTTTTGCGCAATCGTCGGTACACCAGCACATTCTTCTTGTGCTTGAAAACGAGATGAAAAGCCATCACGCACAACAGAGTCGACTTGCCAATACCCGGCGAGCCTACCACGATACTCTTCTTGTCTGCCAGCCAAGAAGACTCATGAAGCCAATCGTCCAATAGCAGCGACATAATTTGCTTATCTTCCATTCGCCAAAAGATTTTTTCTGTTTAAGTACATCCACCCAAGCTGCTCATAAATTTCCAGATCGAGGGAATTGGGTGCACAGCGTTGACTTCCCAGTCGTCCAGTGAAATGCATTCCTCAGCAAATTGTTCGGGCTTGTCCAATGCAATGGCTGTGGGAAGTTGCACATTCGTTGTAAGCGAAGCGGCACACACGATCGGTTCAGGCACTTTCACCAGCACGTGCACAGAAATTTTATCAGCTGCAACTTTTTCCTTCGTCAATCGAAATCGTACTGCTTCTTCCGTGAATCCAATCACGCTAAGTGGCGCTCCCGCATATTCCAACAGCAAAAGACCACTGATACCTTTCACACCATGCTTCACCTCTGTCTCCGTCAGCCACGCGCCGCGGCCCTCGTTTTTCTTTGCCGAGAAAAGACTCAGCTGGTCTGCATCAACGTTCTTCAAGGCATTCGCCTTCTCCGCCTTAATAGCCTTCTTAAGGTCATCTACCAGGTCGCTAGCGTCGATTTTTACCGAGAACATACTACCCCCCCCCCCGCACTAATAAGCGCGCACAAGAGCTTTACCATCGTAACAAGCCAGACGATTCTTAAATGAAGGAAGAGACACGAAGTTTCTGTTTGCAAATGAAATAATTGATGTTGTATGACTATTCTATGGTCAAGATAAAAAGCCATCGTTTCCTTCTGATTAGCTGACTAGACCCAGTGAAACTTGCCTTAAGTAATACTGTAACAATTAATGCGGACTAAAGTTCAAGTCAAAGATTTTCTATCTCCCTTTAACTAGCCCCCATCCATTTATTACCGATGGACAGAGAGCGACAACATCACTCTAGGAGTTTGACTGAGGACGTCATGTGATGAGCTGATGAGCCAGGATGTGATGGAAATGGACAAGCAAGAAACATTCGTCGTTCTGCGCGAGTAAATGTCTAGCACGACCAACGCATCACCCTCGGACGACGAATGTTTCTTGCTCGTCCACGTGGGGAGTCGCAGTCGCAGCAACGTCGTGCGTGCACCGAAGCAGCAGTTTGAGCCGTAGAAGCAGGAAAGATGACGAGAGAGTGGGAGCTTGAAACCTTGGCACAGTGCAGCATGCGGACAATGTGCGACAGCGACCTGCAGTTACAGCATACTCATAGGCAGCAGTAGCACAGCTCCTTGGTGGTGGACAACCACCGTGCAGGACATGGTTCCATAAATGGAGCAACAAAGAGATCAGCTTCAACGCAAGCAGTGGCAGTGACGACATTGAGAATGACACGACGCCTGGGACTAGCAGTAGCTCGAGTGTCAGTGCAGCACGTTTCACTGGTAGCGCGGACAACAATAGAGATGGCGGTGTTTCCCCCAATACTTTGATCCGACCTCCAGCGCGAAACGTGGCTACAAGCTGATCCACACAGTGTCACCGGAGACATGGGATAGAGCAATCGCGGCTGTGGAGCAGCAGGGGATGAGTCTGCGCACCGCTGCTAAAATTTACGGTGTGCACTTTGCAGCTCTCCATCGCCGCGTGAAGAAGCGTGCGCAGGGAGGACATTCGTCCAAGGGCATCAATGGTTACTTTCATCAGGGCGATGAAGCCGGAATCATGCGCGTGGTGGTGGCCCGCGCGGAGCTGGGCGTGTTGATGACGTTTGATGAGCTTATGAAACTGGTCGAGGTGGCTGCGTTGCGCAAACTTCCGGACATCTCGGTGGCGAATGCGCGCGAGCTGATGAAACGCTTTCAGTCACGCAATGAGCAGTATTATCGTGGACTGGCCGCCACAGGTGCCCACGACTTCATTGAGTCCAGTTGCAAGCCACTATCATCTAAAGCTCCCAGGCTATGATTACAGATCCAAGTCCTCACCACCATCGACGAGCCGCAAATGCTCGCGGCATACTGTTGTGGGTGGCTTGGCAACGGAAGTAATTGTGCCCGCGGTGCCTTTGCACCTTTTGCTGCCTTCCTCCTCCATTAATGGCAGCACCTCTTCCATCATCTCATCCGTCAGTGGCAACCAACCCATGCTGCCGAGTTTGAGTGTCGACATGAAATATTTGCGGCCTCTGCTGAGCAGAAGTAACAGCAATCTCAGCCCGTATTCCGTAACCGATTAGTGATGTATGTATGTATGTATGTATGTATGTATGTATGTATGTATGTATGTATGTATGTATGTATGTATGTATGTATGTATGTATGTATGTATGTATGTATGTATGTATGTATGTATGTATGTATGTATGTATGTATGTATGTATGTATGTATGTATAAGAAGGTAGCCGTAATGTGAGAAAGTGTGCAACGGGGTTACACGACGGTTGTAATATCATTCCGAAAGTTTACGGTTGAAGTTTCCCTTTATTGCATACAATGCATTTTGATACTTCTCTTTAGAGAGGTATTAAGTATGAGCGTTATGATACCGTATTCGGTGATACCGTATCTTATCGATTAGGATTCGATAAATCACTAACGCTGTATTATGTACATCATACACAGATGTTTGAGCGATACGTCGTTCAATACTAAAGTCTGCATATTATAATTGCTATTTAGTAATTACCCTAGTGCAGGGTACTTAGAGTAGGACTATACATAAAATCTTAAAGCATAAATAAAATCGGTTCTCATTTTGAGTTAAGATCGCAAGTCGCTCTGACTTGGTCTCTTGTGCATTTCGTGCGTTGGTTCTCTGAACCTTAAGCTTCTAGCTTGTTCTTTCACTCTGTGCGCTGGTTCTCTGAACCTTAAGCTTATCGCTTGCAGACTAAAAGTATCTCCTCGGTGCGAGAGTGAGCCTATAATATAGGTCTCCAACTTCTTCAACCACTTTAAAGGGCCCAATGAACCGGGGAAATAGCTTAGTAGTACCACCAGGTAGTACAGAAATTGCATGTTTAGGTAGGGTATCAGTACTTGATAGCACTTTGTCCCCCACACTAAAGTGTTCATTGTTTTTGCGACCATGCTGGTCTGCATATTGTTTTTGCTTGTCCAGTGCGCTTGCCATTGCGTCACGGATCTTACGTGTGATGGCTAATCGCCCATCCACAAGGCGCTGAGCTTCGCTCACGATTTTAGCATCCAGCTCGCCTATGACGCCTACAAGAGGTCAGTCATGGGTCGACGTTGTTAATAACACTATAGTGTCACTAGGGCAACCTTGGCCCTTTTTGGCATTCGCACCGAGAGAAGTGAGGAGCCCTCCCCCTTAAGGCTCGGGCTGCGTACAAACGAGACTGTCGTTTGAGAATGACGTAGTCCGTTAATGTAAAACGGTGTTTTACCCGTACTGGCGTGAACACTGTTATTAATAGTGAACTACACGAATGGCAATTGCTTGCTTCATTCTTTGGGAGTCGCTACTGTACGCAACACATCCGCCACGACTCGATTGGCTCGTTCTGTTTGGCCATCGGTCTGGGGATGATCAGCGGTTGACATGTGGAGCTTGCTTCCCAGCAGCTCAAACACATGTCGCCGAAAACCCGACGTAAAACGCGGATCCCGGTCCGATACTACGGACTCGGGCATCCCGTGTAGTTGATACACGTGATCCAGGCAGCTTCTATTCCTGAGATCTTGGTGCTACATGGTGCCAAATGCACCATCTTACTCAGTCTGTCTACAAAGATGACGAGCCCCGTCCTGCCTTTATGGTCAGGCGGTAAGCCAAACATGAAGTCCAAACTGACCGACTTCCAACATTCAGTTGGAATCGGCAGTGGCTTCAGTGGCGCACTGTTCGAAGGTGAAGGTTTTATGCGCTGACACTCTTCGCAATAGCGAATATAGTTGGCCACCCACCGATATAGGTGGGGCCACCAAAATTCCTCTGACACTCGTAAGAATGTCTTTTCACCTCCCAGATTCCCACTAGATGGCGCGTCATGGCACTCGTGAAGTATTATCAGCTTGAGACCTGTGTCATGAGGGACATAGATTCTCAAGGGATCACAAGGTGGTAGCTGATGCCATAGTTGGACATCACTGTAACTAAAGCGATTTAGTTTCGCTTTGAGGTGTGAGGAAGGGTAACCTTTCGTCCACCAAAATGATCCAATAGCAGGCGATAATGTTCGTCCTACCTGTAGCACTTCTTTATATCGTAGTCCAAGAGCTCGTCACATGGTAGGCCTTCATGGCTGCCAATGTTGACGACTCATCTTGTGCTTTCGCACGAGACACACTATCCTGGTGTCTTGCTTCGAAGTCTGGTCTTTTCGATAAAGCGTCAGCCAAGACATTCGACTTACCCGGCTTATATTCAGACATGCAATTAGATTTAGAGAAAAATGTGAGCCATCTCTCCATTCAAGGCGAGAGGTGCGGTGAATTTATAGCGGTCCGCAGTGATGCGTGATCCGTATAAACCACAAAAGGTTCGGTGCCAAAACAATAGGTGCACCCGAAACTTTACAAGAATATACTGTAATGGGCTACATTACACACATAGTATTAACATTAATAAGCAATTACATATGTAGGCAGGTGCTGGGCCCGAATAGCGGGCACAGCGTGGTAATTTATTATTAGTTTAATTTTGGGCCTAAAGTCCCAATATGGACCAATGATAAATCAACCTGAAATTTTGTGGTTCCCGAAAGGCGGAAACACTGTCGTATTTATTACGACTAAAATCTTCGTAATTAGTACGAATTAAAACCAAAATAAAAATCAGAGTTAGTATTACTTAATACCTAATGCTTGGGCTTGAGTCTTCCTCGAGCGCGCGTGTAAGATAGTAACGGTACGTTCTAGCCCCGTTACATCTGGTAGCACTTCGTAGTCTTTTCTATGCCCGAGTTTGGGATGAGTGAATCGTCGTACGTTGGCGCTCCAGATTTATTTCTGGAGCACGCGAACTTCCCCCATCTTACTGGTGTTGAGTAAGACGCCCTTAATCGCCTCGCGGCGATATCGGGAGAGGCATTCGTCGCGTCGTTGATGAGATCAGCGACCCCTGATGCGCAACATCTCGACATACATGAGTTTATGGCACGTGAGCTCGCCGAATGCAACCGGCGAGGCTTAACTCCTTCGCGGCCTTCACGTAATGAGGCCGTGAAGATGGAATCCTCCTCCTACTTAGAAAAATGTAAAGACCGGTTGTCGCTGAATCGATGGTTCCGAGAAGGTTTCATTGGCATCGCCTCTTGACTTCTTGAGGCACCCCAGGCAAAGGTCAACTTCCTTCTTTCTCGCCTCACCGGGAAGGCCAAGGAGTGGGCCCTCGGTATACTCGTTATGGACGAGCACGCACTCCCCACCTTGGATACCATCCAGGACGATCTTCGTCTTGCTTTCGAGCCACCGCAAGAGGAGAAACTGGTGCGACCAAGATTCCTGTCGATGCGACAGGGTAAAATAACGATGCGCGACTACGTACAGATGGCTAGGCATCTGGCGTCGTGTATTATCACGCACCCCATAGACATGTACACGAAGGTAGTGTCTTTGTGGATGGTATGCGTGAGGGGCAGACCCGTTTATCGCTGGAGCGCGCCGAGCCTGCCACATTGGAGGAGGCATGTGCCATCGCACTTCGTGAAGACTTTAAGGTCACAAAGGCATATGCCAAACCCTCGGTCGTCAGCGTTCCCCGGCCTTCTGGTCCAGAACCTATGGAGATCGACGTGATTGAGTCGTCGGGTGACCGACGACGTGTCTTTCATCATAAAGGTGACGCTCGCACCGGGCGTCAAATGGTTGCTTTCGTTGTCGCAAGCCAGGACATCGCGCGGCAGAGTGCCGTGCGCCAGCTCCAATATCGGTGCAAGTAGTGGACGCCCATCATGAGGGTGCTGTACCGGCCGCACGTCCAAAAAACGGTCGGGACCAGTAGGTGCAGGGCGCCCTACTGGTTGGAATGGAGGTCCGGGTCCCCCGGTGGCAGCCCAACCTTCCAGTCCTCCTGCGCTACGCGCACGGTTAAATGCCACCACTACGAGTGGTGATTCACGTCTGATTATTGTCAGTTTACATGTCGCCGGCTTCCGGCGACCTCTGCGAGCACTCCTGGACTCAGAAGCAACAAATAATTTCTCTCGTAAATCTTGTTTATCGATGCTGCCTCCCAGCATTCAGGTTCGTGAGGGACCTGGACAAGTCGTCGTCAAGTTGGCTGACGGGAAACCACACCGCGTATCGCGGCGCGAAGTGTCGTTGCCGTACACGTTTGATGTATTTCGCAGTAATGATGATTTCTTGGTGATCGCAATGAATTATGCATTATATTGCATACTGGGCATGCCATGGTTGGAACGTTATAAGCCCCAGATCGACTGGTTAGCCAGATCAGTGAGACGTCGACGCAAGTTCGATGTCAGTGAAGTGTTTACCCATCAATTGGTATCTCCAAGTGACTGGCCGAACGTCACAGTCGTGGATCGTAATTCCACGGCGCTGGCGGTGCACAGAGCGAGCGATGGCCCTCTCTGCACTGCTTGTGCTGTTCTTCGAGACACAAGTGACAGTGACTCCTCGCTACAGAGCGAAGAGGACGACGAGGACGACGCGGTCGAACAGGGGTTCCCGCGCGTCATTAATGCGGTTGAACAGGGGTTCCCGCACGTGAATGCAGTGGTTGAACCGGGGTTCCCATCTGCACCTATTGTGGTCGAGCAGGGGCTCCCACACGGGTTTACTGCGGCCGAGCAGGAGCTCCCGCATCAAGTGTCGACGGTCGAGTTTAATGTACTCCCGTCTAATGTTTCCGGCATCATGGATGAAGACATCCAGTGCCTAGAGGGGTGTGATGGTTTATCACCTGACTGCGGTTCGCCAGCTTCGAGTAGCGACCCGAAGCACGATGGGGACAACAGCACCGAGAATTTAGCGTTGGAATGTGTCCACGCTATCGTGTACGTGGAAGGGAGTCCACAAAGGCGCCAATATATCGAGGTCGAGAGTCCTCCTCGTAATGCGTCTTCCATTACAAGTCTTCCAGGGCTTTCCTGGAAGCATTTCCTACGTGAACTCAAGGGAGGCACTGTGGAACAAGTGTGTCTAATCACCAACTAGGTGGTTACCGTGG